TTTAAATTATGTTTGTGAGAAATAAAATATGTCAAATAAGATGTTATTGCGTCGATCTCGAAAATTTATGTGGAATCAAAAAAAGAATTACCCGATTTGGATACCCGAGTAAAAAATTATGGCCTTCAGAAGTTTTATGATTAAATTATATTTTTTTTGAAAAAAAATATGACACATGTCAACACCTGATGAGTGACGCCTAAATTAGGCGTGATTGCCTCTTGAGTGCGAGTTGGCTCCCTCCGGTATCCCCACGAGCTTCGACTCTTTGAGCCGGCTATGGGACTAATCCGGAGTGCGGGGGAACAGTGACCTTACACAAATTTTTGATATTCTTCTTGACTTTCTCCCTAATTTGTTCCCTAATTTCTATCTTAGGAATTTCCTTCATCCAATACCTGACTTTGTTTTTTCTTGAATTTCCTTTATTTGATTTCTCTTAATTCATATCAGGAATTTTTAAAAAATAAAATAATATATACTTGATAAATGGGTGTTCCCATTCCTTGATTCCAATTTAAATTCACAATAATAATAAAAGTGCTCTGTTTCACTTCTATGAGAATAAATGATTGTTTGGATGAGTTTTCAAAAAAAATATTTTTATATTTTATTTATTTTAGAAGTACTTTTTATAAAAGTTAAAGTTATTTAGATTTTTAAAAAATATTTAGTTTTTGAAAAAATATTTGTGTTTTAACTTATGTTATTTTTAGAAGCTAAAATTTTCATTTTAAAAAAAAAGATTTTTAACTTTTTTTTATGACTTTTACTCTTTTTAAAAGTAGACGTCCAAACATATTTCTCCCATACATGTTTTTTTTTCCTGAAGTAAAACAACTTTTGAAGAGAGAAAAACCCATCCAAAGAGGCCCTAATAATTTTTTAATGACATGGAAGAAAATGAGAAAAAAAGATTAAAAAAAAGATGATGCTAATTTTTTTAATTTTTTATTTCTATTATTTTAGTTCCTTTATTTTTTTTTCTCTTCAGTCAATTGATAAAAGATTTGAAACTTTAAAAACTTTCTTCCCTTTTCTCCCCTCAATCCAAAGATAAGGTTAAATTATAGAGAATCATCCCATTCTTCTAATAAAAACAAAAAGAGAATTATCTCGTATTTTAATTAAAATATATCATTTGTCCTCTCTTTATTGACAAAACTATTTATGTCTAAAAGGACATAATTTACGTCCTTTAAAAGGACACACTAAATCCCTCTCTTTTTCCTGATTTGATCGGAATACTTTGAGCCATGAGAGTAAAAATGAGGGCAAAAATTCATGAATCAATTTTATTAGTAAATTATGTTTAAGATATATCCATGAAATTTTTATTCTTATTTTACCATAATACATAGTTGACTCAAAGCGAAAGTAGAGTAAACACTTATACCTCGATACCGGAGTTGTTAAATTGAGTCATGACTTATCAATTAATCTGGTTTAAGTTACCAAAATTCAATCCATATTAATTTACTTTTCTCTCAACTTGTAATGAGCTAACCAGAAACTTTGGGTTTAAACATTTTTAAATTCACAATTTTCATGAATTACTAATTGTTTTGATTATATTTATAAAAATTATGAATTCAGTTTGGTGATTGGTTATGTTTTGATGATTTTTACTACAATCTAGAATTAATTTATTATGATTACATATTTTTCTATTCTTTTAACTAATAATAAACAAATTTGTTTAACATTAATTTCAATCTAGCATTTTATGAGCCAATCCTAATCATCATGACTCATGAGAGATCTAAATAATAAATTACCCTCTTCGTTAAAAAAATATTCCAAAGCATATGCACCTTTTCTTTCTTTTTCCGAGCATATGATTCACTAGCTAGGGGTGTTCGCGGTCTGGATTGGATCGATTTTGGAAGCAAAATTCATCCGATCCAATCCCTTCGTTTTGATCATATAATCATCCCTTCGGTTTTGATTTGTTTTCAAATCCGATCCGATCCGATCCAATCCAATTTTTTTCGGTTTGGATTGAATTATCTAATGTTTCCTTTTTCAACTATACCCTCTTCCTAAATATGTTCCTACCTATTATCTAGATTACCCCTTAACCTCACCTTAACAGATAAAGAATCTCAACTTTTATAGCCTTTCAAAATCTATCCCCCGGTAGTTAAGATTCGCCTCTTCTAAACACAAGTAGCTGTACTTTTTTTTCCTTTTTTTTTCAGTGAAAATAAGCAAGCAGCTGTCAACTCCATTTTCAAAGTAAACGCCATTGCTATATATAATTGACTCAAGGTCAAACTCCTCGCTACCATCTGTACAAAAAAGTATGTCTTGAAATACAAATTGCCAACACTAAATAAGTACACATGCAGCGCGTTATGGGAGGGATAACATACGCTTATGCACTCATGGTTTCAGATTAAAATCTTCCAAAAAAACATATGAGTAGGGTCAAGTTTTCACTGAAGTGAAATCATAGCATTCTATTTATCATGCTCCAGCAAGAGCAAAAACATGCAGTGACACACTAATATCATATTCACAGGTTCTGTACAACTAGCTGAGTTTTCTCAGTAATCATTATTTAGAGGAAAAAAATGTAATCCACTTTTGCCAACTGTAGAATGTGTTGGGCAAAGTATACTATAAAACCCCAGCTAAAGCAGCAGAGATAGTGGTTTATGGGGTGTCAACCTGTCAGTAGGTCAAAATGCTTTACAGAGGTTAGCCCTCATGTTAGATAAACCTTGCTGATGAATTGGAACTGCCCACAACTTGCTCCTCTTTGGTTCAGATATCCTTACATGTGAAATTGCATTGGCAAGTGCATCAATCCACACACAAACATCATGATATTCTGAATTGCAACTTTCAGATGATGAAGAAAGGCTTGAAACCTCATTAAGGAACCCATCATCCATCCTGTTTCTTCCTAACCTAGGTTCAGGTGCAGCAACAAAGTTGTGGCAAGCAGCTCCATTTTGGTGCTTCAACTTTGATTCAACGGGCAGGATCTTCAATGTACGTTCTGTGTAGAAAGATATCCATGGATGTCCTGAAATTGAACCACATAATATTAATTTAACATGCAAACAATCGAACAGTTCTTAAAACTTAAAAGTACTGTCATTTTATTTCCTGTTTAAAAACATTAGGGAGAAAAAGAGAGCCTCAACCACATAGAAGAACACATAATAAAAACTAACAAAAGTATGTGAGAATTAACAGATTCCCACCACTGTTATCCCAACCAAAACAAGGCAATCCTTCTAATTATTAAGAATTCATGTGAAAGGCAAAGATACTTTTCAACAAAACTTGGAAATTTCTAATTTTAATTATTTCAAGATTAAAAAACAAAAAATCAGACCAAATACAACTAGTCTTTGGTGTATTCATCATTGAGGAAGAGAGATAAAGCACGCTACAAAACATTAATAATCTACCATAAACTTACTAAGTACTTCATCAGCTGTTATCCTTGCTGAAATATCCCTTGTCAGCATTCTCCCAACAAGATCTCGTGCAGGTTTAGATATTGATTCCCACATCCCGGTTTGGAACTCTAGCTTGGAATTCTTAATAGCCTCAAAAACTGCTTCTTGTGAATCCCCTTTAAATGGAAGAACACCAACCAACAGAGCATGCAGGAGCACTCCAGCACTCCATATATCCGCCTTTTCTGAGTATCTACCCAACAACACTTCTGGTGCAACATATGCAGGGCTCCCAGCCAAACCCGTCAAGTTCTGACCTGCAATGCAAATTTCTAGACAATGAGGCTATGCATAAATTACTCATGTATGCATGTATGTATCTTTTACTTATGTGTGTGTATTTATATATATGTCAATTGAATTACTGATATTTTTAAATGCTTAAAAATTAAACAAAGTGACCTTAGAGTATGAATGGTTAGCTTCAAACTATTATAAGCATTTTCTCTAGGACCTCTTATTCTTAGACCGCTAGCAAATTTAATTGAATACTGAACATAGTAAACTTAAGGGAGATGACCATTTGAACTCTCCAATTTTTACTCCTATGTACAGGGTAACATTAGTAAAGTACAATTCAGTTGAAAGCTCATCATGATGAACTTCTTCAAACTTGCCTAGACATTTTTTATTAACAGAATGACTAGGATGGAATTTTACACAAGGAAGGTTGTGTAAGGATTCTATTCATAGAAGTTAGCACATATATATACCATAGGATAACAAAAAAAGAAGATCATCCAAACAGGTTTAACATATTACCCTTAGAAATTCTCATGGCCAGGCCAAAATCAGCAAGCTTTATTTCCCCCGAAGCAGTAAGCAGAATATTCTCAGGCTTGATATCTCTGTGCACAACTCCCATATCATGACAATACTTGATGACCAACATCACTTCCTTAAGTATATTAGCAGCCCGCTGTTCAGAACAAGGGCCCTCCCTAAACATCTGGTCGACAAGTTTTCCCCCAGAGCACAATTCCATCACCAGATGAGAGCAATCAGCTTCCTCATACACTGCCAGCAGAGTCACAACCCCAGGATGCCCAGACAAGTGCTGCATTATCTCCACCTCCCTGTAAACAGTCTCATCCCCCTTCTTCAGAGTCTTACACGCATACTCCGCGCCGCCAACAAGAGACCTACACAACGAAACAGATCCATACTTTCCTTGCCCGATCCTCACCCCAGTAACATAATCATCTTCAATCTTGTTCTTCCTCCCCATCTGGGTAGCCACGTCAATGCAACCTATCTTCCTCTTTAGGCCTCTTCCCGCGGTCATCAGAGACAATGTCCCACAAGGAGGAGCAGTGGCAAAACCCGCCACCCTACTCTTGTAGGAACCAGCTGAGTCTATCTTAGTATTTTCTCCACACCTCTTCTTCAACCTCGAACAATCTTCCATCGAATAATGGGTCTCAAAATTGGACGACGGAGACCCATGATTGGATCTCAAAATGTCAGTCAATTTCGAGGACTCGTCACACTCACTTCCTTTCCTTTTCATCCTCATAGCATCTATCAGTAAAGTACCAACGCAACACCAATCTTTGTGTTGATCACGTGTGCAAAATCCGATTTTTGCCGCAAGACACAATTCTGCAGTCAAAATAGAGAAAGATCAGTCAACGAATTCTAGTCAGATTGATCATGAATGAACGCAAAACCACAAGGAAAGCATCCAAACACAAATATTAAACTTCAAGAAAGTAAATCGAACCCCGAAGCTTTCTCGCAACGTAATGGCGCCAAAAAGCGCCATCACATCACGAGACCCCTGCAAGACAAGAAAAGAAGATGCCAGAACATAGAAAGAAAAAGAAACAAACCTTCGCAATCCCAGCCAATGATCCTGTAATGCGTTGCGGAGAGTATAAGCAATGAGAAAAAAGTCACAAATTGGGAAACTATTACGACGTAGTTTCTCAATCAGGGACTGAAACCCTAAAAATCTGCTATCAAAGTTTTAGGGGAATACGCGAACGACAAGCACAGAAAAAAGAAAGAAAGAAGACGGGTACTCTCTGAGAGTCACACTCTTTTTGCTTAGCTAACGTTGTTTCCTTTAATATAATATAGGATGTTCCAGTTTATGTTCTCCTGCGTGCGTCACTATTTCAAGGGGTGTATTTGATTACGATTTTAAAAAATTTCCTCAATCAGTGGAATAAAAAAATCAACAGGGTCAAATTAGGTAAGAAAAATAATGAACTAGTAAGAAAAAAAAATGAATATCGTCAAATTATATAAGAAAAAGCATTGAACGTGTATAAAGTAGGAACTGTTTTAAAAAACTAATGAATAACTTTAATTTGGATTTTGAAATGGTAACGCAAATATTGAATTCTGGAAATTATTGGTATTTATTCCCTTCTTTATATTGTTCAATACCAGATTAATTACCATTTAATAGTCATCATATTAACGAAATTGGACTTTTTTCCTTACACACGTTTCTCATTTTCATCATATTAATTACCATTCAATAGTCAACAAATTTCACATAAATGTTTGACTTTTTTGCAATTTATGCTTTTTTTAAAATAGAAATCGCAACTAACGTATAGTGAAAAATATTTTTTTCCTTAAAAATGCAGTTTTTGAAAGAAAAAAAAATTCAAACAAGTCCTTAATTTTCACCTCTGCTATTTTTTAAATTGTTGAAAAGTTAAAAAAAAAAAAAAAAGATAAAAAGCTTTTTTTGTAATATTGCTCTTAACTTTGATCCAATCTGATACGCCAATCCCATGGGAATAACAAATTGGATTTTTTCCTTACACACATTTCTCATTTTCATCATATTAATTACCGTTCAATATTGTCATCATATTAACATTGAACATGCATAAAGTAGGAGTTGTTATAAAATACTAATGAATAACTTTAACTTGGATTTTGAAATGGTAATTCAAATTTGAATTCTGAAAATCATTGGTATTTATTCTCCCTTTATGATTGGTCAATACCAGGTTAATTACCATTCAATATTGTCATCATATTAACGAAACTGGACTTTTTTCCTTACATAATTTTCTGATATTCTTCTTGACTTTCTCCCTAATTTGTTCCCTAATTTCTATTTAATTTCTATCTTAGGAATTTCCTTCATCCAATACCTCACTTTGTTTTTCTTGAATTTCCTTTATTTGATTAATCTTAATTCATATCAGGAATTTTTTAAAAATAAAATAATATATACTTGATAATGGGTGTTTCCATTCCTTCACAATAATAATAAAAGTGCTCTGTTTCACTTCAACGAGAATAAGTGTTTATTTGGATGAGTTTTCAAAAAAAATAAAAATTATACCTTACTTATTTTAGAAGTGCTTTTTATAAAAGTTAAAGTTATTTAAATTTTTAAAAAATATTTAGTTTTTGAAAAAATATTTGACTTATGTTATTTTTAGAAGTTAAAATTTTCAGTTTAAAAAAATAAATAGATTTTTGACTTTTTTTATGACTTTTGCTTTTTTTAAAAGCAGGCGTCCAAACATATTTTTTCATACATGCTTTTTTTTTCCTGAAGAAAGACAACTTTTTGAGAGAGAAAAATCCATCCAAACGGCCCTAATAAATTTTTAATGACATGGAAGAAAATGAGAGAAAAGATTAAGAAAGAGATGACGCTAATTTTTTTTAATTTTTGATTTCTATTATTGTAGTTGCTTTATTTTTCTTCTCTTCAGTCAATTGAGAAAAGATTTGAAACTTTAAAAACTTTTTTCCATTTTCTCCTCTCAATCCAAAGATGAGGTTAAGGCATGACAACTATATATTAGCATATGATATTAAAAAATAAAATGGTCAAGGGAATAAATAAAAAAAAATGGGAAAAAAAAAAAAATGTGAATTGTGAAGACGATTGAAAAATAATAGTTAAAACTATATATTAGCAATTGTCGTAAAAAAAACTATATAATAAAATATTATAAATTTTTATATAATTTTTTAAATATAAAATTTGGTATTTCGGTTAAAATCTATTGTCATTTGCAATTTTATACAGTTGATGAAATCTATAAACAAAAGTAAAGAAATAGATTTTTATTGTGTTATCAAACGTAATTTTGATTATCGGAATAAAAAAAATGTGTTATCAAACGTAATTCTGATTCTCGGAATAAAAATAAAATATGTTAACAAACGTAATTCTGATTCTCAGAATTGTTCCAAGGCACAGAAATAGAAAAGAATCATTCCTTTTCAGAAACAGTGCCAGGAATCAGAATGATTGTCATGCGCAGCCTAATTGTCGTTGATTATATATCAGAGCAAACATACAAAAATGCACTAACTTTTTCGATAAACATTTCAAACATAAAATTTCACTTTCCTCCCACAACATAATAAGTAATGAACCAAACATTATTCTAATTGATCTCAGAATATGTTTTTAAATGAATAATATAAATCATCATATATTATATTATTAAAAAATAAAAGGTATGTGTAATTATGATAAATGTTTGACATGTCAAATTTTTTGCCCCAACTAAAGTTAAATTCTGGCTCCGCCATTGTGTGGAGCCATTCTTTTGGACGTTAGACGGTTTTTTTTTTTTTTGTTTTCTTGCCCATCAGTGGCGGAACCACATTATGCTTAGGTAGGGTCGGAGCCCCAGCTACATTTCAGTAAATTTTATTTATTATATATAATTATATAAGTAACTGTAATTTTTGCTTTTTTTATAATAGAAATCTAAAATAACTTATAGTGAAAAATATATCTTTTAACTTATAAAATGCAATTTTTGAAAAAAAAAATTCATTCAAACGGGTCGTTAATCTTCACCTCTGCTATTTTTAAAATTTTTGAAAAGTTAAAAAATAAAGAAAGAAAGATAAAAAGTTTTTTTTTTAATATTGCTCTTAACTTTGATCAATCTGATACCGCCAATCCCATGGGAATAACAAATTACATGTTATGGAATAAAAAAATCAACATGGTCAAATTAGGTAAGAAAAATAATGAACTAGTAAGAAAAAAAAATGAATATCGTCAAATTATATAAGAAAAAGCATTGAAAGGCTTGAAACCTCATTAAGGAACCCATCATCCATCCTGTTTCTTCCTAACCTAGGTTCAGGTGCAGCAACAAAGTTGTGGGAAGCAGCTCCATTTTGGTGCTTCAACTTTGATTCAACGGGCAGGATCTTCAATGTACGTTCTGTGTAGAAAGATATCCATGGATGTCCTGAAATTGAACCACATAATATTAATTTAACATGCAAACAATCGAACAGTTCTTAAAACTTAAAAGTACTGTCATTTTATTTCCTGTTTAAAAACATTAGGGAGAAAAAGAGAGCCTCAACCACATAGAAGAACACATAATAAAAACTAACAAAAGTAAGTGAGAATTAACAGATTCCCACTGTTATCCCAACCAAAACAAGGCAATCCTTCTAATTATTAAGAATTCATGTGAAAGGCAAAGATACTTTTCAACAAAACTTGGAAATTTCTAATTTTAATTATTTCAAGATTAAAAAACAAAAAATCAGACCAAATACAACTAGTCTTTGGTGTATTCATCATTGAGGAAGAGAGATAAAGCACGCTACAAAACATTAATAATCTATCATAAACTTACTAAGTACTTCATCAGCTGTTATCCTTGCTGAAATATCCCTTGTCAGCATTCTCCCAACAAGATCTCGTGCAGGTTTAGATATTGATTCCCACATCCCGGTTTGGAAATCTAGCTTGGAATTCTTAATAGCCTCAAAAACTGCTTCTTGTGAATCCCCTTTAAATGGAAGAACACCAACCAACAGAGCATGCAGGAGCACTCCAGCACTCCATATATCCGCCTTTTCTGAGTATCTACCCAACAACACTTCTGGTGCAACATATGCAGGGCTCCCAGCCAAACCCGTCAAGTCCTGACCTGCAATGCAAATTTCTAGACAATGAGGCTATGCATAAACAACATAAATGACTCATGTATGTATGTATGTATCTTTTACTTATGTGTGTGTATTTATATATATGTCAATTGAATTACTGATATTTTTAAATGCTTAAAAATTAAACAAAGTGACCTTAGAGTAGGAATGGTTAGCTTCAAACTATTATAAGCATTTTCTCTAGGACCTCTTATTCTTAGACCGCTAGCAAATTTAATTGAATATTGAACATAGTAAACTTAAGGGAGATGACCATCTGAACTCTCCAATTTTTACTCCTATGTACAGGGTAACATTAGTAAAGTACAATTCAGTTGAAAGCTCATCATGATGAACTTCTTCAAACTTGGTAATTAAGGTCAAATGCTCTCTCTGCTCTTTCTGTTTCTTTTTCTCTGCGTCATGTGATCTTAATGAACATTGTCTTACTAGCTCAGATATTATTAAGGTGAACATGTGTGCCTGGTTTTCACTGTATCTGCTCTTTTTGTTTTCCTCCTCCCATTATCTGATAGATCACATATCCCCTCGGTCTACTTCCATGTGTATATAAATGTGTGAACTATTGATGCTCATCTTGATACCTGTTTCGCAAGTTACTTTCATAGTTTCATTTGCATACATGTAACAGGGTGTGACAATAATAATATATAATACTATTATTGTATTTTTTATTCTCTATTTGAGATCTATATGTAATAGACAAATAAATGGTGGCGACGAAAGTTTGCCTTTATGAGGTCTGGAACTGAGTAACGTTTCTGTTAATAAAACAATAACCATTTACTCAAACCACCCACAAAAAATAAATAAAAAAATCAGGATTTCTGAGATACAGATACCATAATTGTTAATTTGTATGGCAGCTTCTTTACGTAGGAAAAAAAGGATATTGCAGTTATATATATAATAATAATAATTTATTATTGCAATTCTACAGGGGGCATTGGCTGATATATCTGATATTATATATTATACAATATTGCTAGTTATATATCACTTGCGTTTACAAATTTGGGTGCTGATTTGGTTATTTGGTTTTGACTCAGGGAATCTGGATGAGAAGGGTACAAAATGGGGGTTATATGATCTATTAATTCAAGCAGGAACACTCTTGAAAAGGCCTTATAACACCCGTTGAGACCTGGATATGTTTACATCCTTATTTGCAATTGTGGATTTGAACCTTTGCTTCAAAGATTGCAAGTTTATAAGATTATATAAATTATCTTGTGCTTTTATTTGTTGTTGATCTTTGAATTCCAATGTTTAATTTAGCATTTAAGATAATATAAATTTAATTAAGATAATATAAATTTCATTAATTTGAATTGCAGATCATATAATTTTTTAAAAAAAATACTTTTTAGCATTTAAGATTTTTTTGATAAAATATGGTATTTGGATTTTAAAGTTAAATAACTTTTTTGCTACAAATTTTACATTCCTTTATTTATTCAACAAATATTAAATTTATTATATAATTTATATATTTTAAAATAAATAAATAATTAAATTCACGAGTTTGAAAATTAAATCAATAACTATAAAAAAAAATAAGTTTTGAAACCAAGTCAAAAGTGGGTCAGGTCGGATTTGACCAAATTTTGAAACCAAGTCAGACCCACTTTAAAAACCAATTCAGGTCAGTCCTGATCCAGTTCTGAACCAGTTCAAGAAATATTCAAATCGGGTCAAACCTGACTTGGATTAAATAAACTGGGTCGGGTCAAAATACCTGACCCATAAAAGCAAGTCGGGTCGGGTCGGGTCGGCACAAAAACCTGACCCGACCCAACCCATGCACAGCCCTACACAAAAGTGAGTGAGACCTACTGAGAAAAAGAGAGAGAAAAAAATGAGTCCTACCCACTTTTTTATATGTTGCATGAGATAATTTTTCTCATGCAACATGAGAAAAATATTTCCCATTTTTTAAATAAATTTTCTGAAAGTAAAAGGAAAATAGAGCCGACCAGATCAGATTTAAGGTAGGCCCGCCAGTCTATTTACGCAGCTGGCTAGCAGGTGTGGACTAAAACGACTGCATTATAACATTCTTAAGCCCAAACCTAAACCCCAATGTGTTAAAACCCTGAGATCCACTGGAACCTCAAAGCTTTCATCCCTATCAATTTTGCAGCTATCACAAGCCTTTAACTCAAATGAGAAGGTTCACGTGGTTAACGCCAGTGAGTGAATCAACAAGAATTCCAAAATCATTCAAAATTATTGTTCCATTTTCTCAATTATCCTTGTTCTCATCACCAATTCTTCCAAAGCAGTATCGGCGCCATTCTTCCAATGTAGCGTAATGTTTTAACTTTTTCAGGCTATTCTAGGTGGCAAAGTTGAGGTGCCTACTTTATCGGGGAAGATGCAAGTAAAAGTAAGCAGTAAGCTAAGATTTACTTTGTTAGTATAATTGTTTTTTAATTAAAGAAAAGTTTAGAGGGGCCAAGGTTGGTCCATTTCAAGATGAGGGCATGCTACAAGCTTTAGTAAGGGATCACAATGATACTTATAGATGACTTACCAAAGAAAGTCCACTAATAGGACTTGAACCTGAGACCTTGTTATCGACTCTATTTGATATTGTCAGTTGAGTCAACCTCATCAGTATAGTCTTTTTGTTCCACTATGAAATTGAATTTCGAATGACACAGAAGTTTAGCATCCCACCCCCCAAATCCCTCCTCTCTTTTTTAAGACCTGAATAAGTGATCTTCTCATATGAATGACTTGAGAGGAATCCTCTCTAAACCTCATGAATTTATAATTACAGTATACACAATTAAATTCCGTAGTTTCAGGGATTGACTAAACTAAATACAACAAGCACATAATCTGTTTCCTATTCTATTTACAAGGAATATCAACAGTTTCAATCATTATAGAATAAATTTATCAAAATGAGAGAGTTAAGGAACACATGATGTTTTTTCATGCAACACTTTAACATTAACATCAGCAACACTTTTAACAAATGTTTTTTCATTGAAAATTTTCCTAACACACACAAGTTTAATATCGGTGTCAAGAGATCCTACCCTTATATATATATATATATATATATATATATATATATATATATATATATATATATTGTGTGTATGGGCTTTGGATTCATCATGCAAGAAGACTAATTTTTTTTCCTACAAAGAAAAGTCAAGTTAAATATTAATAAAAAAAGTTGAAGAGACACAATATTTAATGACTTTGGGCATGCATGATAACCTGTTCGGAATCATTTTTTTTTAATTTATGTTCCCGGGAAAAATGGATAGAAAACTCGTTTAGTAAAACCGGTTTATTTTTTTGTTCCCGGGATAAACTGGTTTAATTTTTGTGCAAGGGAACAGAAAAAAGAATCAGAAAGTTTCTATTTATTTGTTCCCAGGCACAAAACGAGAAACACTTATCTCTCTCAATCACTCTCCACCTCTACCATCACCACCACCACCACCACCATCATCCCGACATGACCACCGCCACCATCGTCGCCGCCGCAGTCGTACCACTAGTGCCGTCGTCACCTCCCCCCACTACCACGATGCCACCGCAACCATTACCACCACATCCACCCATCACTGCTACCATGGCACTGTCACCACCACCACAATTACCACGCCGCCATCACCATCACCATCACCACTATCACTGTCACCGTCACCACCACCATCATCGTCGTCACCGCCTCCGCCACCATCGCCATCACCACGCCACTGCCACTGCCACTGCCACTACTACCATCACCACGACGCAACCGCTACCATCACCACCACTGTCACCAACCACCACTACCATTGCGGCAGCCATTACCGCCACCGCCACCAACCACCACCACCATCGTCTCAGCCATGCCTTCACCACCACCACCACCACTGTCACCTACCACCACCGCCACCGTCGCAGCCACTGCCATCACCACCATGATGCCATCACAACCACCATCACCATGCCACCGCTACCATTGTGGCCGCTGCCACCAACCACCATCCCCACCACCATTGGCGCAGCCACTGCCGTCACCTCCACCTCCACCATCCCCGTCGTTACCACCATCATCCCCACCACTACCGTCACAACCACTACCACTATCATCACCACGTCACTGCCACCACCACTACCGTACTGTTGTCGCCACCACCACCACCACCACCACAACCACACAACATGAAAATGAAAGTGATGATCCGAATTTTTTTATATTTAATAGGAATTATTTTTTATTATATTATTTGTTGTGTTATCAAACACAATTATCAAACACAATGGTAGGGAATGAAATGGTTGTCATGCACACCATTTATCTTGTCTGTAGTAGTTGCATGACACTGTACCTGCAAGGCTGCAAATATGAATATATATATATATATATATATATATAATTTGCATTTTTTTACTAATTTAATTTAATATTATATTTTAAATTTTAAATAAATTATTATTATTTATAAAATAACATCAATCCTATTACTTTACAAATTAGAGTTATAAATCATGATCTCATAAGACATAAAATGTCTTTAAGTGAATAATATATATAATAAATATATTATATTATTAAAAAATTCAAAAAGCTAGCATATAGGTTTTTAGACCAGATTTAAGTGGATTTATGACATATTTTTTAAGGGAAATATTTTTCTCATGTTGCATGAGACAAATTGTCTCATCCAACACACAAAAAAGTGAGTGAGACCTACTGAGAAAAAGAAAGAGAAAGAAAAAAATGAATCCTACCCACTTTTTTATGTGTTGCATGAGATAATTTGTCTCATACAACATGAGAAAAATATTTCTCATTTTTTAAATAAATTTTCTGAAAGTAAAAGGCAAATAGAGCCGACCAGCTCAGATTTAAGGTAGGCCCGCCAATCTATTTACGCAGCTGGCCAGGTGTGGACTAAAACGGCTGCGTGAGAACATTCTTAAGCCCCAACCTAAACCCCAATGTGTTAAAACCCTTAGATCCACCGGAACCTCAAAGCTTTCATCCCTATCAATTTTGCAGCTATCACGAACATTTAACTCAAATGAGAAGGTTCACGTGGTTAACGCCAGTGAGTGAATCAACAAGAATTCCAAAATCATTCAAAATTATTGTTCCATTTTCTCAATTATCCTTGTTCTCATCACCAATTCTTCCAAAGCAGTATCGGCGCCATTCTTCCAATGTAGCGTAATGTTTTAACTTTTTCAGGCTATTCTAGGTGGCAAAGTTGAGGTGCCTACTTTATCGGGGAAGATGCAAGTAAAAGTAAGCAGTAAGCTAAGATTTACTTTGTTAGTATAATTGTTTTTAAGTAAAGAAAAGTTTAGAGGGGCCAAGGTTGGTCCATTTCAAGATGAGGGCATGCTACAAGCTTTAGTAAGGGATCACAATGATACTTATAGATGACTTACCAAAGAAAGTTCACTAATAGGACTTGAACCTGAGACCTTGTTATCGACTCTGTTTGATATTGTCAGTTGAGTCAACCTCATCAGTATAGTCTTTTTGTTCCACTATGAAATTGAATTTCGAATGACACAGAAGTTTGGCATCCCACCCCCCCCACCCCAAAATCCCTCCTCTCTTTTTTAAGACCTGAATAAGTGATCTTCTCATATGAATGACTTGAGAGGAATCCTCTCTAAACCTCATGAATTTATAATTACAGTATACACAATTAAATTCCGTAGTTTCAGGGATTGACTAAACCAAATACAGCAAGCACATAATATGTTTCCTATTCTATTTACAAGGAATATCAACAGTTTCAATCATTATAGAATAAATTTATCAAAATGAGAGAGTTAAGGAACACATGATGTTTTTTCATGCAACACTTTAACATTAACATCAGCAACACTTGTAACCAATGTTTTTTCATTGAAAATTTTCCTAACACACACAAGTTTAACATCGGTGTCAAGAGATCCTACCCCTATATATATATATATATATTGTGTGTGTATGGGCTTTGGATTCATCATGCAAGAGGACTAATTTTTTTTCCTACAAAGAAAAGACAAGTTAAATATTAGTAAAAAAAGTTGAAGAGACAAAATATTTAATGACTTTGGGTATGCATGATAACCTGTTCGGAATCATTTTTTTTTTAATTTATGTTCCCGGGAAAAATGGATAGAAAACTCGTTTAGTAAAACCAGGTTTATTTTTTTGTTGCCGGGATAAACTGGTTTAATTTTTGTGCAAGGGAACAAAAAAAAGAATCAGAAAATTTCTATCTCTCAATCACTCTCCACCTCTACCATCACCACCACCACCACCATCATCCCGACATGACCACCGCCACGATCGTCGCCGCCGCAGTCGTACCACTAGTGCCGTCGTCACCTCCCCCCACTACCACGATGCCACCGCCACCATTACCACCACATCCACCCCTCTATGCCACCGCTACCATTGTGGCCGCTGCCACCAACCACCATCCCCACCACCATTGGTGCAGCAGTGTTTTCTCCGAACGAGTGGAGAACTCTTAATTCATCTGATCAAGCATAATTAAAGGAGAATAGTTAATGTTAAAAATTAGAGTTTCTAAATAAGTTTTGAATTTACGGACGTTTAGTGAGAGTTTGGACGCGTTTTAAATCGCGTGAGGTGGCGTGGGACCCACCCCACTTAAAATTCACTTAAAACACCTCATCAAAGTACTATTCATCACCTCCTTCACCCCTCCTTCAGCCAAAAACCGAGCCCCCCTCCTTCTTTCTCCAAGTTTTCTTTCAAATTTTCTTCCCACCTAAATCACTCAAATCCTAACCAAATTCAACAAAGTTTAACTTGAAATTTGTTGGAAATTGCCTTCTAAAGCCATTGGTGCTATCCTTGAGTCGTGAAAGTGGCTGGATTTTGAGATCCTCCCCCTCAAAGGCCGCGACTCACTTGTGGAATTTGGTGTTCATGGAGCTTTGGAATGCTCCAATGGTGGAGTATACCTAGGAGGAGTCATTTGCCTTGCATTTAGGTAAGTTATTTCAACATTTCAATGGTTGATTGGTGAATTGTGTTTATGAACCCTAAAGAGGGATTTTATGATGTGTTGTGTTAGAGAGCTCAAATGGAAAATGTCTATTAGATGATAATGCCTTAAAATGATGTAGTAATGCTAGAAATGCAATGAAAATTTTAAGTGAAATGTGATGATTTTTAACTTAGAAAAATTGATGATCATGATTTTGGAATTTGTGAATTTTGGTGTTGAGACTTGTTTGATGATGGTGGCATGATGGTATGATGATATAATAGGATGTATGATGGTTGGAATGATTAAAGTTGTATGGAAATTCCTTGGAATGCCATAGGTTAAAATTCGATTCTTTGAGGAAAGATTGTGGAATTGATGTTGAAAAATGGTTTGGATAATGAATTGTGTAGTTATATGGTGCTTAGATGGGTTGTGTTGTGCTTGGAGAGTGTTTGAATCAATGGAGAAAAATGAATTGTGTTAGAGACCTAAATGAGCCCAGAATGAAATATTTCGCAAAACGATGCGTAAATGTCGAAAAATGGAAAAACGACGATTGAACTAGCCTCTAAACAACCTAAGGGAGTGTTATAAAATGAGAAAGAAAATTTAGGAAAATAAATCTCAAATTTACACCTACATGGCCGAACCTCCAAGGGGAAAAGGGGTGATTTGGCGATTTTCGCGTTTTGATGTAATTCGACGCGAAAATGACGAACCGGCACTTGAACCGGCCTATTGACAACCTAATGAGACGTTATAAAATGAGAAAGAAAATTTAGAAAAATAAATCTCACATTTACACTACAATGGCCGAACCATCAAGGGAGGATGGGGAGGATTTTTGTGTTTTTGCGTTTTGATACTATTTGACGAGTACTGATGGATGTACGTTATTGTATAGGTTGCCGTACGTCGACCTGAATCCCGAATCTTGAATCAGTGAATTGCCCTTGGTCCGGGACCAAGTGGATTGAGGTAAGAAATTGGTTCATTACATGTGTAATTATAAATTAACGTGTATGGGTTGAACTGAGAGTGATTGGGAATGTCCTCTGTGTAGGCATTCCGCTGTGTACCGAGTTGAGGGATAAGCTGCTGCGGAGCTTGTGGAAACGCAAATTAAGGTAACCTCTTGGTACTGGGGCTTGTTCCCCTTTTCTGTTCCACCTTGCCAGTTGATGGCAACGGTAGGAAGTGTGTATGAATAGTATAGAACACATGAGCATGCATGCATTATTGCTATGGGTACTTATGTACCGAGTCTCTGGCCAGTAGACAGTTTTATTAGCCTTCGGGCATTTTCGGACTTCCGCTGGATAGGTCTCCAGGAGGGAGTTCCAGTTGACTGCGGTCATGGTGTGTGATCCGGGTAGGAGCACACTAGGAATGTCTTTGGCGTTTTGGTTGGTTTGGGCATCATGGTTGTGGTTTCTGTGAACACACCTTGGATGATACCCATAGGCTTATATATGCCGAGGGCGTACGTGGAATTGGGGTTACCATCCCGTATCGTCGTATTTTGTTTTCTTTATATTCCCCCTTCTCTAAATCCCATGCTATATCCCGTTTTCAAAGTGGTTGTTGTATTCTATTGATATGCATCGAAGTGAACCATTGGGTGGAGTTTTCTCCAGAACCTCTTGGTTACTGAGATATATTCGTATATCTCACCCCGTCTCGGGGCATTTATTTCAGGAGGTAGCAGTGGAGCAGGAGCCTCGGGCAAGAGGCCCGCAGAGTGAGCGGTGGAGCGCTTCTTATTTTGCATTTTGTTGGCCGTGTGGCCTAGGCTAGACTTAGGGCATGAACATGTCATTTGTATTTATTAGTAGCTTCATTAGCATCTTGTTCATGCCATTTTGCCTAA